AGCTCCGCGCCGCGACATCTGCCCGCTGAGATACACCTCACTGGATTCCACAGTAAGTCACATGGAACGTCGCCAGCACTGTTTTAGTATTACTTGTGCCTTTGCCGACATGCCTACAGCTCCCTCTAGTTGTAATACAAACCTTTTTGACATAAGTTGTCGGTGGCCCTAATTATTTTAATGCCGGTACTGTTCACCAGCCCTTGTTCTAGTTTGGGGGGGTGATGATATATGGGTGGTCTATTAGTAACAAACTTTTTTTTTATTTCAAAGATAATCCTTACCAATTTCCGACATAAAGTTACATTTTTAAAAAACAATTGAAAAACATTTCGATTTCATCTTAAAATGTTGGACTCTCTAAGGGTAGTTGCCTCTCACACAAAGAGGTTTTACTAGACATGTATCGTTCAAAATGATCAAATCATTATCCTAAAGTGATCGACCGGGTTGCAATCCATATAAGATCCTGGATTTATCACACAGATCCATATTTACCTATTATTTAATGGATCGATCTTGACTCGCGATGCATTATAAATTAGTGTGCGAATGTCAAATACTTATCATATTGATATCGCAAGTACCATGTTCTATTAAAGTAACTTATTCTTCGTCATAGATCGGCGTTACAATAGCATTCTGATAAGCCTGATATTGATAGTATTCGTATAGTTAATGTACAATTATAAAAGTACTCTTTCGGAATTCGTATTAAATTTTCATTGTTGTTTACAATTCGTATACTCTTATGCTTTTGTTTTGTTTTAAACTATTTACAAACAGTGAATCAGTCTAACGACGATTATTTGCTTTGTTTCAATAAAGTAACGACTTGAGAACGTCGCGTGGTTGAAACTTTATAACGTTTAATAGATTCTGGTGATAATAATATGAGAAAAATATGTACCGTTGACTATTATTTGAAAAAGTATATCGGTAAGATTAGATGTTTATTTAATTATCGGAATAATTTTTTTTAAACCCTATCCGTGCGATTATCTGTTCGAGCAACCTTGTTCTTATTTGTATCTGAGAGAAATCTTCAAAAGATACATCCCCTTTTGGAGTTTGAGCCACTAAAACCTTCTCGGTTGCCAGCCTCTGCAATAGAAGAGGGTTCTACGATCTTGGTGGAACGCATCGGAACGTCTACAAGCAAGCTAGGAACAGAATAGTAATGTAAGATGTATTTGCACTTCAGCGGGCGAGCCAACAGTGTACGTGACGGGGCCGGGCGG